TAAAATTAATTAATTAATAATGATAATTTATTTGAGGATATTAATTTTTCTTATTTAAAACCTCCTTCCGATATAAAAGTAGAAGAAATTAAATAATTGCGAAAACTAAGCTTTAGTACTCAAATTTTCATAAATATACAATCTTCTCTAATTTTTTATCCTCATAAATTTATTGAGTTCGAAACTCCTTCTAATAAAGTAAGAATAGAGATATATTTTTATCTCAAAAGATATTTTTTTATCCAAAAATGGATTTTTGAAGAAATAGAGGTTACTTTTTCAGAATAAAATACTAGAATAGTGATATAAGGTGAACCTTTTTATGTTAAAGAATACTTAAAGGTGTTACACACTTTTGCTGTTAAGGATTAAGAAAATGATTATGAAACTTTAAAAGTAGTTAATTTATTGAAGGCCAAAGACGATATTATTTACATCAATTTTGATGATTTTTTGAATTAAAAAGTTGAGTTTATGGAAAACTTTTAGTAGTTTTAAATTAAAAATAAAAATATTTTCCTTGAGTGTGAATAATTAGAAGTTAATGAAGGGTTACTTTAGAAAGTTTTTAATGATAAATATCCTAATGATATATATTATTTTTAACATTTAGTATTCTAAATTCCATTTGATTTATTTTTGGATGCTTATATGTATACAGATGAGTATTAAAAAATCTCACAAAATCGAAAATATGTCGATGTGAGCTCTTTATAAGTTTTTTATTGGGCTGACTTTGATATTAATAGTAAAATAGATGTGAGAAAAAGTAAGAAAATAAACTTAGTAGAGAGTACTTTTTATATTCAATTGGATTAACTAAATATTAATTAAGATCATAAATTCGAAGTTTGCTGTATGAATTAATCAACGAAAGTTTGCGATTATTTTTATTTTAAAATGCAAATTTTTATCTAATTTACTACTTTGTATATTTTTATAGGAATTATAGGCTTTTTAATACTTTTGGGATTATTATGGAATAAGAAGAATCTTTTAGTGTATATTTTAGAAATGAATTATATGAATAAAAATGTAGAAGTGATTTCTTCAGATGTATTTTTTAGTAAATAAATTCCGATTATAAGGGATGATATATTTGATAAGGCTAAAACAATTTGGGATATTTATTATTTTTCTAAATTGAAAAATTTTGAAGATGAAAAAATTAATAATATTCAAAATTCTTAGAATATTGCAGAAAATAGCAAAAATATTTAATCTGCATAAAATGAGGAAATTGCAAAAAATGTATTTTAGGCAAATTTTTATGGCTAGAATATAAATAATGAAGTTTTAAATAATTAGATAAGTGATTTCTTATTGGAATAATCCGCAATTCAAACGGATGAAGTGATTGAATCGAATTAAGTTAAAAAAGAAAGTTCTTTTATTCATAAAGATACTGTAGATAGTGAATTGCTATATAATTAGGGAAAAAGGAATCAATTAAATGAATAAATGATTGATAATTTAATAAATAAATTGGATTATTAGAGAAGATATTAAAATTTATTAGAAGAAGATTATTAATTGTTAAAGGAAAAGTAAAGTAAATTAAACTAAATTTATTCAATGTTTGAAAAATGTGCATAAGATGTTTCTGAAGTTGGATAGAAATTATAAGAAAGAAATAGAAGATTGAAAATATTAAGAGGATTGGGTATAATTAATGAAGATAATCTTATTTTATAAACTTCTTTAATGGCAGATATATCAATGATTATGAGCAAATATGTAGATTAAGATACGAGAATGGAATATTTATTAGATTCTTTAAAAGATTCGAATTAATTTGAATTAAGTTCAAGGATTACTAGGAAGATTTTAAAATATTTTACTGATTATTTATTAAATGTGGATTATTAAAGCTAATATATTTATTTATGTGTTAAAGAAACAGCTACTTTGATTAATGGAGATTATGTTTGGTATAAAGCTTTAGCTAATTGCTCTATTAATAAAAAAGATTGTGGGGTTTATCCTTTTTCTGAAATTATTGTTAAAGTAAAATAAAAATATATATTTTTATTTTAATTATAATTTTTATAATTATATACATATATATATATATATATATATTATATATATCTATTTATATATTTATTTATTAATATATTTATATTTTTATACATTTTTTTTTAAGTATGATTCCTTTGATTTAGTTTTTAAAATTATAAGATAATTTTCCGGAAACGTTAATAGAAAATAATATTTAACTATGATGGCATAAAAACTTATTACAGATATTTGTTATTAGGATAAATAAAACTATGGAGGTGAAACTTTATTATTAAAATAAAATGAATGTTTAGAATAAGTAAGGGTTTTAAACATTAATTAATCAAATTATTTTTGCTTATTTAATGAAAGCTTTCAAAGTATTATTTATTGGATAAATGAAAGATATTGTAATACTAATTAAATGGCTATTAATAGAAATATATTACCATAATGGATGAGTTGTAATTTATTAAATGATGTTATTTAATTATATGGAAGTCCTTTTTATGTTGCTGGTACTAACTATTTGATTTAGTTTGTAGGAAAAAATAAGAAAATTTTTAAAAATATATATTTGAAAGTTGTGGCTGATTAGTATTTATAGGAAAAATAAATTAATAAATCTAAAATATTTACTAAATAAAAGTTTTAATCTAAACATTAAAATGATTGCATTGCTACGAAAGATATTATCATATCTAAGGATGTTAATAATGCACGGGTTATTTCTAAAAAACACACTACTACTGATTCTGGTTAGAAAATTTTCTATTCTTATGATAGCTAACCTTAGTAAATTATTGATATTTAAGATAATAAAAAAGAACATAATATTGATTTCATTCTTTTGAAATGATTTTTTTTTATTTTTATTAATTTAATATTAGTATTTATTATATATTATTATCATTATTTTATTTTAGTAAATTTATATATTTTTTAGTAATATAAATAACTTTATGTAATTCCAATTTTCGAAATACTTAATAAGTGATATAACATTTTAAATGAGTATAATCATTTAATTTTATAATAAAAATAATTTCTAAATAAAATTGTAATATTTGACTTTGAATTAAGAAATAATTTATATTGATTTAAAAAATATATGTACATTTTAAAATAAATATCTATATCGTTTTTATCAAGCAAATATAAATTAAAAATGCAAAAACTAAACATCTCATAATAATTTCTTTTATTTCCTTAATATCTCATAATAAGTTATTTTATTTTCTTTATTTTAATTATTCTATAATAAAAGATTTTCTAAACAAATATTTAACACTATTAAAAAAATAGGTTTTAATATATAGCCGGTTATTCCTGTTAATATGCCTTTAGATTTATTTTCAATGCCGTAATTTTTTAATTTTAGATTTTGCTTAATTTAATGAAATTTAACTTTGATAAAATTTCATATTTGTATTCATTAATTTTAAATTTGAAAGTAATATTTTTTATATTTTAATTAAATTATTTCATTTGAATATAAAGAAATATTAAAATAATTACTTTTTAATTAGTCTATAGTTAATATTTTTATTAATTTTTTAAATTTTATTTAATTATTCAATAATATTGCTAACATTAACTTGGCTATTTTAAATATTTTCCATAATTTTTAATATTTATTAATTTTAAATAATAAATTTATTTAATGTTTACTCTAATTATTAATAATTTTTGTTATATATCTCTTTTAATTATCAATTTTAAAATATCAAACTAAATTTATTATATAAAATCTATATGTTTTTTAAGAATTCATATTTTAAACTAATTAAAATTTAAATAATTATTCACTAAAAATTAAAATTAATAAAAATATAACTTATTAAAGTAAAAATATAGTTCATGCTAAAATTTATTGTTCATAATTATTTGAGTTTTTTAAAATAAATTCATTTGTTTCATCCCTAAATCAATTTAAAAATAGTAAAAATAATATATTTATGAAACTGATAATTATTTATATTGTAGTTAATATGCTTTTAGTTTTTTTGATAATAATTTTAATTTACTTAGATTAATACTGTATATATATTAAATATATTCAATTTATAATATTTATATAAAATAAATTAACATAAAATAAATTTAATATAGTAAATATTTAAATGTTTATATAAATATATTTTATGTTTTAAATATATTAATTTATAATTATATTAAAATATTAAAATTAATAATAATAATATAATTTATTTAAATTTCTATTATATCAATCAAAAAAATATTATTTTTAAGATATTTTTATTAAATACCAAAATATGATTTAATCATTTTAATTATTCTAAAAAATTTAAATTACATAGTTTTTTATTTTTATTTTTTTTAAGCTTTCTATTAATAAATATATAAATTAAATTATAATTTTTTTAAAAAAATTAAAATTAAAATATATAAAAAATTTTTATGTAAAAAAAAAATATATGATATTTTTATTTTATTTATTTAAATTTTTAAAATATTTTTAGGAAAGAAAATTAGATTCTTAAAAGTTTATTATAATAAAATTAAATAAAACAAGTTTATATAATAAAAAAATATTTAAATTCAAACATATTATTAAATTTCAATTTAATTTATAATTATTCATGTATTATTTTAATACGTTAAAATCATATTTTATATAATAAATAATTTAAATATAAATTAAATTATCTAATTTAAAAAAAATGAATCATGTAAATTATATTCATATAAAATTTTAAAATATATGATAAATAGAGTTTAGTTCATATAGATAATTTATAAGAAAACCTTAATAGATAACAAAGCAAATCAAATAATACAATAAAAAAAAACTCTAAATCATAAATTGAAAGTAAAATATCGAAAGAAAGTAACTAACAAGAATTAATAAATAATAGTATTTAAAAATATGAATCAAATATACTGAATGAATTTTTTTATTTAAAAAAAAAAGTTAAAAAAAAAGCAAAACTAAAATAGAAGAAATTTTATCCAAAAATTCTAATTTAATGAGAGAAATGAAAAAAGTATAATCTTAACTTAAAATAGAATAAATAGATGAAATTAATATAAAAGAAGAAGATTCTCATAAAAAAGATAAGAAAAATGTAAAAAAAATAAATAAAGTAAAAATAAATTAGAAATCCATATTATAACAAAAATTTCAAGAATTTCGAGTAAATTATAATTAAATAAAATAAAAAATAATATATAAATAAAAGAAAAAAACAATAAGATTAGTAGAAAATAATTTTTTTGAAACAATAACTACAATATCAACTTTTTTTGCATTGTATGGAGATAATATTCGAATAGTTAGTTCAGATAAATATCATGACTATATTTTTTATAATTTATCATTTACATGCTTTATAATATTTTTGATTGAATTAATTATAAATTCTATAGCAAAAAAATTCTATTTATTAAGTTTTTCCTTTTGGATGGATTGCATTTCTACAATTTCATTGATTTTCGATATTCCATGGTTTTCTTAATTTATATTTGATATTTCTTTTGATAATAACCAAGTAAATTTTTTAAAAGCAGGAAGAGTTTCGAGAGTAACTACAAGAGCTTCGAGGTTGGTACGTTTTATAAGACTTATAAGATTGGTAAAATTGGGAAGACTATATAAACATGCGTTTTAGGCTATTGGAAATAGAGTAAATAAACAAATATAAATTGAAAATGAATAATAGGAAGAAGATAAATAATAAAACGAAAATTTAGATTAATAAGATTTTAATTAAAATTCATAAATGGAAAATGATAATATTGATAAAAATAATAGCAATAATAATGAAAATGATATTGATAATAATAATAATAATAATAATAATAAAAATAATAATAATAATAATAATAATAATAATAATTATAATAATAACAATAGTATTACAAATAATAGTAATAATTAAAATGCTTCTTTATATCCTTTAAAAAATAAGTAATAATCTGAAAAAAAAGTAGATAAAATAGATTATTTTGCTGATTTTAATTCTTATGAAAATACAATTTTTAGCAATTTCTGTATTGTAAAGTCTAAACCATATCATTTAGCAAGAAAAAATAATAACACATATATAGGAGCTACTAAACACAGTATATTTTTTTAAGGAGATAATTGTGGAATTCCTCTAATTAATTAGTAAATTAATAAAAAACTGATTAACTTATCTTCTTAATCTTTAGATGAAGATTTACCTTATAAAAAATATGATTAATTAGCTAATTAATAATACATAAATTTATTTAAAGATTAGTCTAATTAAAACATTACTGAGTCTAAAGTCGGAAAAAAGCTTTCTGATTTGACTACTAAAAGGGTTATTTTATTAATTTTTAGTATAGTATTGTCAATTCCGCTTTTTTCAGTTGAAACATATGTCTAAATAGACACTTCATTTAATACAGGACTGAATTTTTTATAATAAATTGAAAATTAAAGTATTAATTATTCAAATTAAAAATATTTCTATTCTTTATTTTAGAAAAATTATTTGGATAAAAATAAGAATTTGGATAGATATAAAATTATTTTTTTATAAATTAGAGGCATTAAAATATATTAAGACTAATTAAATAATGAATTGAGAGAAGTTGAAAAAAGCTATTATAGATTAAATGATCATGATCCTAATATTGAATCATATTCGATTGTTTCTTTAAAAGATGACTAAGATCTATCAGCTATTCTCGAAATTGTAAGAACCACATATTTGATTATCATTTTAGCTTGTGCTTCTATATATTTTACTAAAGTAATTATTATATTTATAATATTTATTTAATTTTAAATAATAATAAGGATTCTAATGAAATGGTTGTTGATCCTATAGAAAGAATGCTTGCTAAAGTATAACTTATTAGTGAAAATCCTTTGGAAGCGGCCAGAATTGCTGAAGATGAGGCTATAGCAGAATAAGAGTTAGTTAAAAATTTAAACCCTCAAGAACTTCAATTATTATAAAAATAAAAAACATATGAAACTTCTATTTTAGAAAGTACTATTATTAAATTCGGAGCTTTATTGGCTATTGGATTCGGGGAAGCTGGCTCTGAAATTATAGGATAAAATATGAGTGGAGGTATTTATTTAATATTTTATATATTATTATTTACAAAAAAAAAAAAAAAAGATGGAAATGTTAATCCTATGATTCCTGGTAGAAAAATAATGGCAATTTTCGGATTTGTCGCAATTCATAATTTTTCTGATGTAACATAAGTTTTGTAAGAAAAAATTATGATTTTTGCAAATGAAATAGCTGAAATTGTTCATAATGTATGTGATTCATTTCATGGGTAGACGAATAAAAATTTAGGGGATTGCTTTTTGGTGGTATGGAAATTCAAAAAAAATGAAAAACTTGTTTACTTAAATAAAAACGAAGAATTGTGTATAAATAAATAAGCTTTTAGTTAAAATTATACAGACCTTTCTATTGTTGGATTTCTTAAAATAATAGCTTGTACACACAAGTTATCTCAGACATAAAGATTTGTATATATATATATATATATATATATATATATATATATATATTTTTTTATTTATATTTAAAAAGTAAGGTCATCTATAATTAATAAAATAATAATACCCTAATTTTTCTTTAAAACTTGGATTTGGCCTACATTTAGGATGGGGTATAGAAGGATCAATAGGATCAGATTTTAAAATAGACGCTAGTTATTTAAGCCCGAATGTAAATTTAGCAAGTAGATTAGAATGTGCAACTAAATAATATGGATTATATATATTACTTTCCGGAGCTGTATATAGATTATTATCTGATAAGTGTTAGAGTTATTTAAGACATATTGATAGAGTTACAGTTAAAGGAAGTGATTAGCCTATGGATTTATATACATGCGATGTAGATCCTAATTAATTATAGTTAAAAATATATAATTTAAAAAAATAACTTGAGTAAAATGATAAAAATAAGAAAATTCTTAGATTTATTTAAAGGTAGAAAAAAGATGAGAGATATATAAAAATAATAAAAAACAATATTTAAATTAATAAAATGTTTGAAATTGATAATGATATAATGGTTATGAGATAAAAATTTAGTCCTGTATAATTAAATAATAAAAATAAACATATTTATATTTATATATTTATATATTTATATATTTATATATTTATATATTTATTTATATATAATTTATTATATATTTTTTTATAAATAAGTAATTCTTTAATGCATTTCATGAAGGATTATAATAATATTTAGATGGATATTGGGATTAAGCTAATATATATTTTTAGAAAGCTAATGTTTATAATTTTATTTATAAAATTAAATTTTTTATTAATATTTTTTTAGTTTATATTATAATAAATTAATCCTGATAGTAATGAACAAATATTTGATGGTCCAGCTTAAACATTATGTAATTATATGAAAAAATTTAACCTTAAATCTCCGAATGATTGGAAAGGATATAGAGAACTTATTGAAAAATGATTTATTTTATCTTTTTTAAATCAAAATTAATTATTTGTTTTTAATATATATTAAAAATTAGAATTAAAGTAAAAAAAAATCAAATTTCTAAAATTTTGAATTTTTTTTTAATATATATGCATTATTCAAAATTTTTATTAATTATTTTTTTATATTAATATAAAATCTCTTGCATAAATAATTTTAACATATTTTTTTGTAATTTTATTTAAAAAAAATCAACAGTGAATATCAAATATATATATAAATATAATAACGAATATAAATTAATTATAATAAAAAAAAAAGTATTATAAATTAAAACTATATGGGTAATAACTGCTGTTGTACAAATTAACCATAACCAGAATAAATAAATTAGGTTGAAGGTTTTTCAGCTAAAAAACCTGAATATCCAGATGATTGTATATAAGAAAATATAAATCCTATAGATTAAAGAAAATCGTAAACAAAAGGTAATATCAATAAATAAAAATAAAAAAAAATATATAAAATGTTTAATATATATTTTTTTTTAAAAAATAAAATAAAAAGAAAGTAAGGCATAAATAAATATTAGTAATCGCAATTCATAAAATAAAATTATTTATGACGAAAATATTAATTTAGTAAATCCTTAATAAAGACATCATTTACCATTACCTTTAATAGCAAAGCCAATATCTAATATCCCTTGTTTTTCAAATGAAAATGCAATAAATACCCTATCATAATAAGGAGAATTCTTATATGATGAAGATGAACCAGATGATAGAGATTTACCTTACGCAGGTCCTTATGAGTTTGAAAATGGCTCTGTTTATATAGGTTAATGGAAAATTGGAAATAGGCATGGCAGAGGAAAATAATATTGGAACGATGGTAGTTTATACGAAGGATATTGGAGAGATAGTAAAAAAAAAAACTTAAATTATTTTAAAAATAATTATAGACATGGCAGAAGGTAAAGGAAGATTAATACATTCAGATGGAGATTTGTATATTGGAAGATGGTAAAAAGATAAAGCAAATGGACATGGAATATACTTACATATAGATGGCGCAAGATATCAAGGAGAATGGATTGATGATAAATAAAATGGATAAGGAACAGAATCTTGGCCTGACGGGGCTATTTATTAAGGATAATATGTAGACGGAAAAAAAGAAGGTTATGGTATTTTTAAATGGTAAGATGGCTCTATTTACAAAGGTTAGTTTTATAAAAATAATATACATGGATATGGTGAATATAGTTGGCCAGATGGAAGAAAATATATTGGAGATTGGATTGATAATAGAATGGAAGGTAAAGGAATATTTACTTGGTAAGATGGAAGGAAATATGAAGGTGAATATTTAGATGATAAAAAACATGGTTAAGGGAAATTCGAATGGCCTGATGGTATTTTTATTTTTAAATTATTTTAATTTGTTTTTTTCTTTCTTTTAATATTTAAAGGAAGAATATATAGAGGTAATTGGAAAGATGGTAAATAACATGGAATAGGATGGTTTTTTAATGCTTAAAAATTAGAGAAAAAAGGACTCTGGAATAATGGGAAGAGAGAAAAATGGTTTTTATTTTTTTAAATAATATAAATTTTATTATTTATTTAAAGGATAAACGATGATAATGATAAGTGAAATAAATATGATTTTTTACTTTTTATAAAATAAATATATATGTAAAGTTTAATTATTTAAAGAAAAATTATTATTATCATATTTTATTTTAAAAAATTTGTTCTTTTTTTTATTGTGTATAATTTTATATATAAGTAATTTGCTTTAAAAAAATAAAATATTTATTTATAATATCTTTTTATTTTAAAATAAATGAGTGTAATCTTTTATAAAATATTAAACTATAATGCTTTTAATATTTTTTTTCTTTTTTATTCCAAATCTAATTAATATTAAATTTTATGTTATCAATCATTTTATATATTCTCTAATTTAATTGACAGATAAAATTAACAATCTAAAACATAGAAAAAAAAAGAAATTCTTTTTTAAAAATAGATTTAAAATTATATAATTTTAAAATATTTATATTTTATAATTAAATTTTTAATTTTTTTTTTTTTATACGAAAAAATTTTATGAATATATTTTTAATATTTATTTTCATATAAATAACAATCAATAAACTTATTTAAGATTATAAAGTAACCAAAGCTAAATAAATATTTAAAGTTTATATATTAATAGGATATACATAATTATTAACTTTAATCTTTAAAAAGAAATAAATTAAATACATGCACTTTTGCAGTTAGCAATTTAGTTAAAAATAAACAAGACATGATAGACTCAAAATTAGAAATATATGAAATAGAAATTAAATAGAGAGTAAACATCATTTTAGAAAAAGATATTTATTATTATATTTGTAAAAAAATAGATAATCAATAAGTTTTATTTTAAACATATATAAAAATGTATGGAATTTATGTAAAGAGATTACGATAAGGCTTTTATAGTAAACTTATATAAAAATACTTTATATGATTTTTAGAGAATATTATAAATAATTTAAAAATTAGAGTATGAATCTTGTTGATGAAATTAATTGGGAAAATCATTTATAAATTGATTTAAATAATATTCATAAATATAACAAAGATCTTTCAGAACAACAAATATAATTAAAATAATTAATTGAATAAACTATTGATGTAAATTAATTTAAAATATGAATTTTATTATGTTTGCAATAAAATTTTATAATATTATAGGCTGAATATGAATAAAATAATTATATTTTAAATTTTTTTGGATATAAATTAACTAAATAGAATATGCCTCATGTTATTATAGTTATTGTTATTTCAATAATAGGATATAGTATTTACATAAGTAATATAATAATATATATATATATATATATATATATATATATATAATTATTTTTATATTATTTAAAAGCATTCAAAGAGTTAATAATTGGACCAATATTAGAAAAAGAATAAAGATTGAAAAAAAGAAAAAAATTGAAGTAAAATTATAAAAAATAAAGATAAAAAATATTATATGCATATTATAAATGTATTTTATTCAAATATTTCTAAAAACAAAATCTCTAAAAATAAATATCATAATTAAAATTATAAATTATTCCATTTTTTAATCAAATCTTATTAGCTTAAATAGCTTATGTCAGATAATCCTTTTGGATTTTAAACTTATTTTTCAATTTAATTCTAATATAATTAGTTTTATAATTTATATTAAAATAAAAAAACTTTATTTTTTTTGTACAATAAAGTAGGCTAACATTAAATCTTTTACAGATAATCCTTTGCAATCATGAGTATTTAAATTTATAACTACATTATTATATACATTAAACCAATCTGGATGATGATTCATATCTTCAGCAATTATAGCAACAGAGTTCATAAATGAAAATGCTTCAATAAAATCATTGAATTTTATTTTCTTTTAAATTTATGTGCCATTTTATGTCTATTTTTAATTTATTCAAACATTATTTATATATTTTTTATTAAATTACTATTGTCCAATCTTTAATATTTATTTAATTTAAAAATTGATTAAAACTGTTTGCTTAAATTAATATGGGAGGTATTTTTTCAATATCTTTAAAAGATTATAATTATAGTTTTTGCGTTGAAAAAGACATTAAATTTTTAAACCTTGGTAACATATTTTATAATAGGTAATTTTTTATATATTAAATAAAATAAAATAAATAAAAATATATATTATTTGTAATATTATTATATATAT